TTTTCAAAATGTAATGCTGGAAAAATTCACTGTTATTTCAGTCCACTACTGGCTTTCTAAACCCAGTACCTGAGGCTGCTATTCTATAAACATAGAGATTTATTTGGCTCATAATTCTGGTGTCTAGAAAATCTAAAAGCAAGGGTCTGGCATCTGTTCCTGCATCACAACATGGTCAACAGAATCAGAAAGGAAAATAACTGGGATCAAGTTGGTAAAGAGAGTGTGAGCAACTTATGAGTGTCCATCCTACTTTTATGTTCAGTTTATTTATTTACTCTCTATGGAGTAAAATGAGGCACCCTTAACAGGTCTTCACACCACAGTTCTCTCCCCAGTATGGCAGGATCAAAGGCACACACACAGGCATGTTCAAGTGAACCCAAATCCTTCCCACTTGGTGTTCACAACATTCAGTAGCACTGCCTGTACCACTGCAATTAGGACTCCATTTTCTAATAATGCACATTCTGAGGGACTAGCTTGTTTCTTGAGAGAGAGAGAACTCCCTCATGACATCCTAATAGGCATCTTTGATCTATTCATGAGGGTGCTATTCCAATGAACCAAACAGTGCGTACTGGTCCCCATCTCTGAATGGGTTTGCTAACTCTTAGTACTATTCATGGTGACCAAGTTTCTATCACATGAAATTTTGGGAGACAAATCATATTCAAACAATAGCAACTACTGATGTGCAAAATGATCACCACAATCCATGTCCCACACGAAATACAAAACTTAAACAAGTCACAGATACATAAATTAATATAAAAGCATAAAATCTCCAGAAAAAATAAAATAAAAAGAGAAAACACATGTGATCTTGGGCAAAGTAAAAGCATGACCAGGCAAGAAAAATAACTGATACATTTAAATGACCAAAATTAGGAACATCTGTTCTTCAAGAGATGAGCAGATCTCTACTGTAAATAAAGACAAGCCATAGGCAGAAAATATTCAGAAATCACATATCAAAAAAGAAGCACTTGTATTTATAATACAAAAAGAATATGTAATAATAATACTAATGAGCAAACATTTAAGCAGCAAATTTACTGAAAATATAGACAAATGTCATATAGGCATAAAAAGAGATGATTAACATTTTTAGTCACAAGAAAAATTAAAATCACTGTGGGACGCAACTATACATTACATGGAATGGATAAAAATTAAATATATACATATGTGTGTGTATGTATATATGGTTGTTGGAAAAATCATGACATATTTTTTCTGTCTTTCTATGCAAAAATGTGTCATGGCTTTTCTGACAATCAAATATTTACTTGAACAAACTATGACAAAGAGTGGAGCAAAGGAAGCTCTCATATACTCCGGTAGGAATGCAGAATCATACAATTATTTTAGAAAACAGTTTGGCATTTTCTTAAAAATTTACCATACAGCCACTACATAACTCAGTCTTTAGACTCCTAGCTATTTATCCAAGAGAAACGAGGCATATCACCACACAAAGGTCTGTAATAAATGTTTATAGTATTTTTAGTTATAAAACCACCAGCCACAGTGTATCCTGAATGGAAAATCTCACTTAGTAAAAGTAATATTGTACAGAGAATAAATGTAAATAAATACGTTTAAAATAAACAAAAAGAAATTATAGCAAACCAAAAGGATGAACTTAAAAAAAAAAAAAAAACTAAGCCAAACACTAATGGCTCCCAGAAAGTAAATGGATAACAATTTGTAGTCTAGCAATGCCACTGATACTACTGAGCAATAAGAAATCATCTATACAGGCAATAGCATGAATAATTCTCAAAATACTATTTTTTTCCTCAATTCTGGTTTATTTTCTACCTAGCAAATTTATGTTAAACAATTCTGGCCCAGGGAAATATTCAGACTCCTCTCCTTTGGTAACACTAGTGTGGACATACACTCTGAATAATTCAGCAAACTTCCAACTAGGACAAATATTTTTGTGCAGGTAATTGACCTATTAACTTCAATTCAGGAAGGTGATAAAATGACATTTTTTTCTCTCTCCTACTCCTTTTGTTTGTGCTTAAGGTCTATACTTTCATCCCTTTGTAAATCTTATATAAAGATATCTGGTCTCAGTAGTTGCTATTGACATAACATACCTTATCTTTTATACCTTTATAGCTATGCAAGGATAACATGAAATTATCATATGATATAATATTCAAATCTATAAAGTTTTTTGCTACTAAAATAGTGATCGCTATTATTATCATTGAATGATTCTGAGATGCTTCTTGCACTGAAAATTTTCCAATCCCAGGAAAAATTGAAGTATGCCTTGAATTTCTTATATGGCTAATATCACTTGTAAGCTTTAAGGAAAATAAAGTAATATAAGCAATAACAACCAAAGCTAGGAGCTAAAGTAATTCTATCCAGTTCAACAATTGATCATATTTCCTGTAACACAATCTTAATTATTATAACTCTCAAGATGAAACAGATTCAGTAGTTTCTCAATTCCTATGCATATTTTACATATCTGATTGATTGTAGCACATTGAGGCTTTTTCCTTTTAATTCTTCAACATCCATCACAAGTGATGTTTCTTCTTGGAAGGTTTCTTTGATTTCTAAAATTAATCATTTTTCCTACCTCCTATGTATCTGGTATCACAACATACATTATATAATATAATAATTAGCAGGTTCTCTGTATTTGACAGCTTCAGCAATGCAAAATGTTCAGCAGCAAATGCAGTGCACAGCAATGAACCTGTTTGTATTGAAATAACTAGATATATCTATTTCCATAAAAATTGTTTAAGGTCTACATCTACAAATCATTATGGAAAGAAATGCTCATATTTAAGAACTGGCATTTTTAGATAAAGATGGAATTTTATAAAGAATTAAGGTAGCATTTCACTAATAGAGAATAGGAAGACCTACTTGGAAAGAACCCAGAAGGATTCAGAGAGAAAATACACTTTTTAAACTTAACATGATATAAATACTCAAGAAAAGGAATGGCATAGGACTAAATTAATGTAATTAAAAATTAAATTAAATTTTCAAACCCATGTTCCAATAGCGTGTTACTCCTATCCAAATTTTGTCTCATTTTTCTGAAAATAACAAAATCTTTTAAGCATATCCTTGAGGGCTTCTTTCACCTGCTGGTTCCTTAAGGTGTAGATGAAGGGGTTGAGTAAAGGGGCAACAGAGGTGTTGAGTACAGCTACACCTTTCGATAAACTCACCCTTTCCTTTGCTGAGGGTTTCATATAAATGAAGACACAGCTGCCATAAGTAATAGAGACAACTACCATGTGGGAGGAGCAGGTAGAAAAGGCCTTTGTTCTTTGTTGAATGGAAGGAAATTTTAGAATGGTTTTGATGATGTATGTGTAAGAGAGGACCACTAACAACAATGTGACAACAAGTGTTACCACCGCTAAAACAAAAGACATCAATTCTATCACGTGTGTATCTGTGCAAGAGAGCTGCAGGATGGGTGAACTGTCACAAAGGAAATGATCAATAGTTTTGGAAGCACAGAAATCCAACTTGAACCCCATGACCAATGGGGGGAAGATGATTAGAAATCCAGTTACCCAAGAGCTGAGTACAAGTCGATAGCACACTTTGCTGTTCATAACGATTGGGTAATGCAGTGGTTTGCAGATGGCAACATAGCGATCATAGGACATGGCAGCCAGGAGGTAAAATTCTGTAACTCCTAATAAAAGGAAAAAGAATAATTGTGTTGCACAGCTACTGTAGGAAATTGTTCTGTCTCCTGTTAGAATGCTTATTAAGAATCGTGGGATGCAGACGGTTGTGAATGAAATTTCTAAGACTGAGAAATTTTGGAGGAAGAAATACATTGGTGTCTTGAGACGGGAATCCAGAAGGGTGAGGAGGATGATAATTAAGTTTCCCATCATGCTCAAGATGTAGTTGAAAAATAAAAACAGGAAAATCACAATTTGTAGTAGAGGGTCATCTGTCAATCCAAGCAGAATAAACTCTATCTCCATTGATTGGTTCTTCATTTCTATATTGCCCTATAAAACTTACAGAAAACAGGGAACCAGCAGTTAGCGTAATGGCTATGTCGCTGGACTGCCATGTAGTCCACCGCAGTTCGCCTCCCGGACCCGGTTGCTTAAAACTCATGCCGGGCATGTGTGTGTGCATGCCCAAGATCCCGAGAGGAGAATGGAGGAGAAGGGATTGCAGTGTGACCATCCCCCCAATGGGTGATTTCTCGCTTTCTGTCTCTATGTCTCTCTCTGTCTGGCGAGCGTACGCACCCTATAGTGAAAATCTCTCCAAAAAAAAAAAAAATTACAGAAAACAAAAACTAGTATCATGAATAAGATATTCCTTCATTCTGAGTTGTTAAATGTTCTTTTTCCACAAATATTTTTACAAGTCAGCTTCGAGTTTGTCAAAATCAGCATATCTTCCAGGTCATCTTTCATATCTTTGAAAATGTTGATTTGTCAAAGCTGAGAAAGTCCTAGTTACCACTTTACAGAAGACTTATCAAATATAGTTCCACAATTTAGTTAGCATTAATCTATTTATTTTAATTTTCAAACATTTTGTCCTCATAAGCTCTTTATATATTTAATATTCTCAAATTTCTGATTTTAGCTAGTTCATGAGTAATTTTTAAGATATTTGTTCATTTATATTTATTTCCACTTCATATTTAATCAATCATATCTGTTTAGTTATCATCAGAGACCTAATAGTTCCAGGTGGAACTATGTGTGTGTGTGTGTGTGTGTGTGTGTGTGTGTGTGTGTATGTACACACACACGTATGTATATGTGTATATTTTATATACACATGTATATGCACATGTGTATATATGTATACACATGTGCATATACATGCACATGTGTATATATGTATATATATATACACATGTGCATATACATGTGCATGGGGGGTTCCATTTCATATTTCTTTTCCTTTTTTCTTACTTTCTGGTTTTTCTAGACCCATTTGCATTCCTAGTCATATGCTTTATTAATGGCCTTTAGTTTTAACGTTTTTGTAGTTTTTCAATAAATTATTTACAATTCTTCAATTCTATATAATAGAAATAAAGCAAACTAAAAACTAAAGTTGGTGTTTTATGTTTTATCTTCTTTTTTCTTTATTTCATTTATCATGGTTTCATATATCATTTTGTTCATAGGATGAGATCTTCTAAAAGTTTATGGAAAATGTGTATCTCCCAAAAGAAATCTATGTATGGATTAAAAATTTTTAAGAACCAAAACAACTCAATATTTTTCATAAATTTCTTTAAGCCCCCTTGTATCTTTTTACTTTTAATGTGAAAAAAATTAAGATTTTTGCCATGGGGCACATACACTTGCAGTAGAGTAGCAGAGACAGTAAGAGGGAAAGTGAAGAATCATCACACAGGCGAATGATAACTCCACAATCCCTTCTTCTCCATTCTCCACTGGGATTTTGAACATGCACACACACGTGTCCTGCGTGATCTTCAAGCTGCCAGGTCTGGGATTCCAATCATGGTTGGGTATGAGGAAGTTCAGAGTCTTAACAGCCATACTATCATTTTAAAATGTTTGAAAGTGTGGGACCAGCAGTTGCCATAATGGCTATGTTGTTGGACTCCCATGTAGTCGACTCTGGTTCAAGTTCCAGACCCGATGGCTTAATCTCACACTGGGCGTGTGTGCATGCATACCCAAGATCCTGAGAGGAGAATGGAGGAGAAGGGGTTGGGGCATGGCCATTCCCCGGGGGGGTGATTTCTTGCTTTCTGTCTCTGTCTTTCTGACAAGCCCACACGCCTTATAGCAAAAACCTCTCAAAGTTGGAAAGTTTAAATCTTGTCATTGATGGAAATTACAGTTGTATTTTATAGTTACTAATCATACTTTTTTGTGTGTAAAAAATAAAAATATACTTCTTGGGATCAGTGGGTGGTATGTTTCTTAAGGCACTGGACACCCCCACATGGTCTACTACAGTTTGAAACCCAGGTTTGGGGGTTTGCTTTCTTACTTTTTTTTTTTTTCTCTCTATGTCTCTCTCTGGTCAACTTAAAAAACCACAATTGAACAAATAGAGTTAAATAAATAATTCTCGAAAAAGAAGGAATACTCTTCTTTACTTTAAAATAAAAAATTTTGATAGAGGGCATGAGATCTTGCCAGAAGGAGAAATTGAGAGAGAGAAAGTGGGAATGCAGCTCCCATAGGGGATGGTCATACCACAATCCTTTTTCTATTTTTTCTTTCAGAATATTTAATACTTAGACACATACACTGAAATGTTTTTCAATCTTCCTGGTCAGGGACTATAACAGTATAATTAGCCAAGTGGGATCTAACCTCCATAATCACTAAGCCACCAGCTGGATTTTTTTTTTTTGGTAGAATATGTTCATATAATTAAATTCTAATATTTATGATGTCAAAACTATTTTATAGAGTGGATATGATCAGTCAGTGTAGAAATTCCCAATATAGATTAAATTAAACATTAGGGTCCATTCAAAATGGTCACAAAATGGGAAAGGATAAGAGAAAGAAAAGGGAAAAAGAAGAAAGAAGCAAAGCATTTAAGGGACACAAAAATGGAAAATTATCTGTTGATGATGACATGTATGATAATACCTTTAACTGGACTAATAGACAGTGTATTAATGCTGGAAAAAATTTATTTTATAAGCTGTAATGATATACAGTGGTTGAATGTATAATTAATAAATAAGCAAACTATTAAAAAACAAAATGGTCTCAAAAGAAACAGGAAATTCAAAGCTTTTGTGGTTTGTTCAAAATATTTTAAAATGCTTGAAAAAATAACGTTATTTACTGAGGTATCAACTTGTTCTTTCATGCTAAGAACAGTGTTCTTGAAAGGTTGAGAAATCCCCTTGACAAGTTCACTGGTGAGAGCAAATGTATATATTACTTTTATTCTTGTTCTTTGAGCTGAGGTCTAGCAGAAGACCACAGAAAAATGGTCACAGGGTTCACAGAAACTCATAATCCAGATATGAGTTCCCAGTTGAGCCCTGAGCTCAGGTCTCTTTGTATGGATCGATGCCATTTTCTTAAATACCTTAAGTAGAAGGAAGACTCGTCTGATTCTCTGGGCATCCATGGTATCAGCCAAGCCTTTCTGGCATTAAGATGTAGGCTGCTACCCAGCTATACACTTCATCACCTTTATTTTTTTTCCACATTTTTAAATTTCATTTTCTTTTATACATTCAATCACATTATTTAGCTTACTGGGACTCAAACCGTGATTGGCCATATATGGGAGTCCAGAACCCTACCCCCATCACCTGATGGCCCCTCTATTTCTATCATTTTATTTCTTTATTTTTCTGTTAATTACTCCAAAATTGTAGTAAGTTTACTCTTAATGTATATGCATATATATGTCTATCATCCAAGTATACGATACAAATACATTTCAATAATACATGTATATTACATACAGTATAATAAACTAATCTGTAGATTAAACATAATTAGTAAATACTTTACCTTTTTAATTTATCACTGTGTTCTACTAATGATAATCTTCTGAGTTTTTCTAAATGCAATAATTATATTTAATGTTAAAATGAATGTAAGTATCTATGCTACATTTACTCAAAGTGTAAGGAATTGTTGCTCTCTAATTTTCCATCCATAATTCATCCAATGCTCTTAAAGACAGATTTAAAAATAGATACTCATTTATATATTAAAAATAACTGCTTATATATGTGTGTGTATCATATATATATTTGCATAATCATAGACATGGTATATTTCTAAAATATAGAATATTTTACTTCATTCAATAAAATGATTGAACAATACAGTTTAAGGACACATTTTCTTCCCTGATTTATATTTCCAATATTTTGCCCCAATTTCGGTCTAGAAAGAAGACAAGTTAAAATTTATCTTACCTTGCATAGGGTGTATCGGATTTGTTTTTCTGTTATGATACATGGAGGAATAAAAAGGCTAATAAAATAAGGATGACTATCATGCATATCATTTCAAGATATAGTTAAACTATTAAAGAGATATTAAATGTCAAATTTTCTTCAGAAAGATTTAAATGAAGTGAAATGTGATTGCTACATGTTTCAAAATATTTCCTACTTTCTCTTAAGTTCACATTCACTACACATTGAGGACTCAGACAATAGCAGATAGTACACATCTATATTCTTTCCATTCTGGTTAAAATTCCTGAAAGTTTTAATTTGCATTTGTTTACATATGTTATATCAGGATTAAAAAGTA